AACAGAAACCCGGGCTGCCCGTGGGCTCGGCTGAGGTCTGCACTGGGGAGAATCCTTGTGTGGGGCTGGGGGCTTGCCCAGGGACCTGTGGCACCCACCTCTTCCCTTTGCTTATTCAGTGGCAAACGCTGCCTTTAAAGCCCCAGCTCATGCAGTCTGGTGGTCATGAGGTCTCGGCTTGAATTAAAAAAAGCTGAAGGTAGGCTTTGCAATTCTTCTAGCAGAAGGAAAATGTGACCTAAAACACCAGGAAGCCGAAGCTGTGTGATAACCAGCCCAAGCTGAGCTCTCCATAGGCACTCGTTCTTTAATGCCACCCTCTGAAGTCCTGCTGTCTGGCTCTGCCTGGGCTGTTGGAGGAGAGGGGTTTGTCCTGGGGGGCTGGAAAGGGACACAGAGCCCTTCCCTCCCTGCCTGGCTTCCCCCACGTGTTAATGCCTGTGCCGGTGATGTTCCTGGCACAAAGGAAAGCTCTGTAGCTGTTGTTTTGGAGGCTGGCTCCTCATGAGCTGCATGGCCAGTTGCTGCCTGTGATTTCCAATTTTTTTTTTTCCTTTTCCATACAACCCAGCTCTTCATTGCAAAGGAGATGGCTGGGGGTGTTTAGATGCAGCTGGAAGCGTGGGGGCAGAGCCTCTGACCTCCCAGCCCCATGCAAACCACCCCGTACAGACAGCTCCTTCATCCCTTTTCCCAGGCTAAGGAGGGGGAAGCACACAGTTGAGGTTTCCAGGCGTTGGGATTCTTCACGGGAAAGTATTCCATGGCTGAGGAAGCAGAAAGCTGCCCGAGATTGAAGAAAAGCCTCAAACCTGTAGTAAAATCTGCAGAACCACCTTTTTTTTTTTTTTAATCAAATCCCCTGGTCTTATGTGCTTTTTCTGGTCAGTGCCCTGGGGGTCTGGAGGTGGTAGGATGGGGGATCAATCTGTGGGTGCTTCCCCGTGCCTCAGTTTCCCTACCTGCACAGCAGTGCCTGGGAAGCTGCTTTCTGCCCCTTTTCTCCCCTCCTCATGTCCTGGAAGTACTTTGAACATGAGCATTTCTCTGTGCAGTCTAAATATTAAGTGTAGCTTGGCTAGGAGTTCACCTAAAACTGGGTCTGGGCAAATATCTGAAGGTCACAAACACCCAGCCGAGTAATTACTTAGAGTGGTCTAAGGGATATGGGTAATGGGATAAGAGAAAGGGAGGAAAATGTAGCGTAGTTATCAGAAAATTCTCCCTGACACCATGCTTAGTGCTGCAGAGGGAAACGTAGAGGTCCTTGGTAAATCTGAAGAGGTGATTTATGGATTGGTTCAAGAGATGGTGGCCAAGTCCCCAAGGAGCAGCAGCGAGTGGCCTGTGAACTGAGACTGCAGACTTGGCTTTGTGGAGCAGGTAGACCACGGGACATGGGGTGAGGGATGAGCTGATGCACAGACAGACCTTGTACAGATCTTGTTGGTGTGCAACCAAGTAGCTCTGAACTGCCCAGGAATAAGTTCAGGGTGAGAAGTGAGGAGCTGGAGGCGGGGGTGAGGATCTTGTCCTGCCCTGCTGGAGCATTTGAGGAAGCCAGCAGGTTTGGAGATGGGGCAGAACTGTCTGCACGACCTGGCTGCTCGCAGGCAGTGAGCTGGCAGCCTCCAGCCAGTCCTAAATTCCTGTGTGATGTGCTCTGTGAGGCTGGGGCCATCCTCACGTGTCCGGTGTTGTGTTCCTAATAATATTCAGAGCTCAGAGAGCAGCAGGCTTCCTTGGCAAACATTTGGATGTTCCCCAGTGCATCTGGAGAGTTCCCTACCTTAGTGGGTGATGTATCTTGTAACACTAGGGCTGATATGTTGTTTTTGTAAATAAAACACAGAAAAATGCTCACTGATTTGAGACATGGGCTGAGTTGCCATTTTGGTTGGTTCTACCTGGGCACTTGTCTTGGAGATGCCTCTGAGAGGGGTACCACGCACTGAGATGGCTCTTCTGATCTGATCTCCCTTTCTTCAAAGCTACAAGAAAAATTAAAATGGTGTTTTCAGAAAGATCTAGGTGCAGCTGAGCGGCATTTCTGGAGGATCCTCCCTCCCCTGCATATCCCCTACCTAATGACGGATGTGAGATGTCTCTCCTTGGGCTTTCTCCTCTCCAGACAGATGAAAGACTGCTTGGAAGGACACGGGGGAGATCAAGGGTTGTGAGTGCGAGGCCAGGGGCTGACACGGTCCTTCTTGGTGTCATGTTCAGCTTATCTAACCTCAAGGATGTGTGAGCGATGGCAGGATGGAGCTGCTCAATGCCCTGCTGCCCTGGCTAACACGGGAGGACAGGCAGCAGGGACAGACAGACCATTTCGGACAGACAGACCCTCTCAGGGAGTGGGGAGCTGGGTGAGGATCAAGGTTTTCCTGACCTCCCTCCAGATGGGCGTTACCTGCCCATTCTGTGGCCCTTTTTTCTGTCCTGCTCCTCAGCAGCATTTTGCATCTTGCCCAGTAATGCCCGGGTTCCTTAATAGCATCTCATGTGGGATTTTATCAAAGGCTTTAGGACAATCCCGGTAAATTATATCTACTGCGTTCCCTTTATCCATTGTTTTGTTGATTCCATCAGAAACCATCTCCCAGAGCAGACGTGCATGCCTCGCCTTTCAGAAGCCCCCAGTTTGCTCCGTTCCTCTCTTAACCATGTAATGTTTCAATTAATTTGTCTGCTATCGAGTTATTGTTCTGAATAGCCCTCAGAAGGGATGATCCGAGGAGCACCACCGGCTTTCGTTGTGCCTAGGATCTGGATGTGGCAATCAAAGCTTCTGCTCTCGGGTGCCAAGAGGGACGTTTTGGTGGGATGCTCGTGCTGTGTGTGTTGAGACAGCCCCTGCTTAGAGGAGCCGGGGACCTCCTGGCGATGAGATGTGCCTGAAATGATCCCCAATAGCCCAGGCTGAGGCTGAGAGATGTGGACACTCATTTTTGGTGATGGTTGAGCTGCCTGAGCACTAAGTTGCTCCGGCTTCGTCCTTGAAACCCAAGGAGCGGGAGCAGCGTGCGGCCGGGCTGGAGCGGGGAGGAGAGGCGGTGAAGCCAGCCCGGGAAGGGTTAATCATTTCCATTGCAATTGTGTCATCTCTTTGGGGACCTCTCGCTCATTTTGCGAGCGGCCGCTGAAAGCCGAGGCGCGGGGGCTCTTTCTTATTCAGCCGCACGCAGCGTCAGAAGCACCGGACAGCCGCACAGCTGTGCTCAGCCGCCGCGGCCGTGCAGATGGATGGAGAAAAGGATTTGTGTGCGTGCGTGTGCTTGCGTGTGTGTGTGTGTGTGTGCCTGAAACCTAATTGTCTGCTGTCTAATCCGTCAGCCAGGGGGACAGCTTGCACAAGCCCCTTCCAGGCAGGCTGATAAATGCAGCGCTGCCAGGCCCCGTTGCGATGCGCTCGGCTTTAATTGGGGTGGTTACGTGCACGGGCTCTGCGCGCCTGCCTCTGTGGGTGCAGGGGGTGCTGCTCGTGGGCAAGAGGGAGTCTGGGGTCCCAGGGGATGGAGCAGGGCTGGAGGCCTTGGGAGCAGCTTTTGGCACTGTGAGCTGGTGCTGGGCTGGGTGGTTTTTTACTACCTGGCGTAAAACCCAGGGCTGTTCTATAAGAGCAGTGGCAAGGACAACAGTGCCGGTTTTGGGGACTCTCTGCCTCCTGAGATGGGGCTGGAAAAGAAATAGAGGGGTGTTGGGGTTTGGGGATCGCCCAGGGTGTGATGCAGGAGGCACTGACAGCAGTGATTGGGCTTGGAGATGGCACCTGTGATCTTCAGCGTGGTGCGAGGAGCAGAGCCAGGCTCAACGCGCCTCCCGAGCACACGGCAGCTCGGGGACTTCCCCAGCCGGAGTGGCGTTTTGTCTTTAATACTCCTCAATGGATTTCCCATGAATTTGTCTAGTTGATTTTTGTAAACACATAAGCTTTAATCATCCCCAGAGAGCTGTGGCAAGGACTTCCACTGCTTAACCACGCATCATGTGAAGAACCGTCTCCTCTTGTGTCTTTTGAACCCGCTGCCTCTTAATGTTATCGGATGCCTCCTAATTCTTTTACTGGGAGATGCAGCGAGCGATCAATCTTGGTTCACCTCCTTGAGGCCACAAACACGCCTCGCTGGCTGCTTGTTTTCCAGGCTGAGGTCTTCCTCCTGTGGACTCGTGTTTTTGATCATCATCCTGTTCCGGACCTTTTTCCAGCTCTGCTGGTGATGTCAGGGCTCCACGCCTGGTGTCATCCTTGCTTGTTATACAATTAGGGGTGATGTCATGATTACAGCAGGTGGTATTTGCATCAGCGTTGGTTGCTTGGTGCGTGTTGATGTCAGGCGAGCGTTGTGTCCTGCCCAGCTATGAGAACTTCTCATGAAGCTGCTGATCCTCAACGCAGGGGGTTTAAAATAAAAATATTTTGCCTTTGAGTTCCCTGCCTGAAAGGGATGGTGCCAGGCTGTTGTTTTTCAGCAGCCAGCGTGCTTTGCAAGATATTCCTGACTTAAATGAGCGATGTGTCTCAGTTACTTCACCCCCCAGGTGCAGTCACCTCCAGGCTGGTGCCCACCAACTCGTCCATAATAAACACACATCAGGTTTCAGGGCAGGTGACTCAAGGGAATCACATTTCCAGGAGGGATTATAGGCTGGCACTCTGGCTGCTTGCTTGGCAACGTGACTGGGTGCCAAAATCTCCCTCGTGGCTGCGAAAGCATGCTGTGGTGCTTGGGGACCCCCAAACCTTTGGGAGGGACATGGGTGGAGGTGGCAGTGGGCTCGGTGGTGGTGCTGCAGGGTGCAGGAGGGGTGTCACTGCACATGGTCATCGTGGCCTGGCCACACGTGGGCACCCTGTGCACCCCCTGCTCCCCCCCCCGGAGTGCTGGGACCCCCTGCCCACGGCTCCCTGTGCCCCTCTCCCTGCCCTCCTCCTCCCTTTGCCCTCTCTTTGCTTCTCTCTCTCTCCACACCTGCTCCTCTCCTTCCCTCCCCTTTTTCCTCTCCCTCTCCTCCTCCTCCCCTTGCCTCTCTCTCTCTCTCTCTCCATCCTCTTATCTCATCCCCCTTGTTTTTCTCCTCTCTGCCTGTCCGGCTGATTTACATGCATGCTGCGTTGAAGCAGCTCAGCTGGATCTAATGCCTCCTGCCGCGAGGAGCAGAGCCGGCTCCGGCCTCGGTGCGCCACTTCTCCGGGCAGGGGAGGAAGAAGTGGGGCCACCACTTTTGGCCCCTTTCCTCGTTGCCTTTCCCTTTTCATCCATTTTCCCTTCCAGCCCATTTTTCCATTGCTTCGCTCCTCCTTTCGCTCTCCCTCCTGCCAGGTCCCTGACCCACGTCTCCTCCAGCCTCCTGTGCCCCTGCTGAGCAGCTCCCCATGAGACAACTGCTTCTTTTGGCTGGGAGAGGAGGCACCAAAAGCCTGCAGCCAGCTGGAGAGCTTGGGGGGGACCGGGGGCATTAGGCACTGACCTGGGGATTGCTGCTGAGCGCTCCCAGGTGGGGTCTTGGGGCAGTTTTCCTCCACCCCTGTGTCCATGCCGAGAGCAGGGATCGAGGTGCCCACGTTAATCACTGGCTCTAATCACTCCCATTTCCATTTGGCTGATTTGCATTTCCGCAAGAGGAAGATGCCCTGATTAATATCCCCTCAGAAGAGCTTTATTGCGATGGCTCCTGCCTCTCTAATTGGAAAGTGGTCTTAACCTTTCATGCAAGTGGCTGGGACGTTCCCTGCCTGCCAGAAGCCCCAGGAAGGGTCTCTCTTGCCCTGAGTTTTAGGGGAGCGGAAGGTTTGGAGGCTCCAAAGCAGGGCAGGAGCCCTCCATCCAAAGGGGATGCTCCTGGGGGTCCCAGAGCTGTACCCACCTCCAGCACGGGAAGTTTTCCCAACAGAAGCCGCAAGGGGACAGGGAGCAGGGGGTTGTGCTGGGGTGATCCAACACCAGCGAGCACCCAGCCACCTCTGAGCAACCAGCTGGGTGCTCCTGAGCTTGCACCCATGTCCTAATTAATGACCCAGGGAGGATGAGCTCCTGTGATGACAACGGAGCCGTTCCCCTCTGCCCACGTGTGGCAGGGAGGCAGGATCGGACCCAGCCGCTGGGATCCTGCATCTTTGGCTCCCCAGGGAGTCCCAGGCCCACCACCAAACCCGTGCTGGCAGCTTGAAAGCCTGCCTTGCACTCGGCTGCTTTCTGATCTTCAAAGGCTCCAGATGCCCGAGGAAATCAGCCCTCGTGGCTCCTCTTCCAGTGCAGTCCCCAGCTCCGAGCTCTCGTGCAGTTTGTTATCCCTGCCGTGTGCTGCTGCCTCCCCAGCCCTGCGTGGCGAAGGGGCACTGCTCTGTGCCTCTTCCTTGGGTGATCTCTTCCAAAACTGCTGCTGGAGGAGATGTGTGCGTGTGGGCATGGCCAACTTTATCCCCAAAAACCTCCCTGCTGGCTTCCCAGGGCTGTTTTAAGACCCCAACTCATCTCCCAGGTGCTTCAGCCTCCCCTTCCCTTTCCTTCTCAGGTTAAGGAAGTGATTTTTTTTTATTATTACTTTTTAATTTTGGCGTTTAAGCTGCTTTAAGGGCCGCAGCAGCGAACGTTCCCGATAAACAGCCTGGGAGATCCAGGGAATAATCTCTCTGCTTGGTGACGGCAGAGGCGCATATCGCAGCTGCTGGCAGCGCGCGGAAAGCTGGCCTCATCCGCTGCAGTGCTCCAGCAGCCCGGGGAGGGGAAAAAATTGCCTCCGTCCTTAATCACAGAATTTGAAATCCCAGCTAGTCTGCACCTTTTATTCCTCGGGTTTATGGGGTTGGTTTTAGCCTCTGAGAGAAAGGGCGATAACTCCCACCCCCGTGTAACCCTTTGCATACAACCATTTGCAGAGCTGTGGGGTCGATCTTGGTGGTTTTTTGTTTTTTTGTTTTAGGGTGATGTGATTTGCTGAGAGCTCTGCCCCCAGCCCTGCTTGTGCCGTGCAGCCTGCAGGGAGCTTTGTGCAGGGCTTTGCTGTGTGGCTGGAGGGAAATCAGTGGCTGCTGGGGAGGGGGCAGTGAGCAGCAGCTCGCTCCCCTTCCCCAGGGACTCATCCGTGACATCCTCGTGGTACCTTTCTCTTTGGGGTCTGGGGGATGGCTGTAATTTTTTTACAGGTCACAAAATGCTGTTGGCACACGCTGTTGCATGCTCTGTAGGCTTGTTTAGCACCGTTCTGGTTGGTAAAAGTGCATGTGTTGAAATGCATCCTTGTCAGAGGGCTGGAGCGGCTCCCCAAGAGGTGCCGGGGAAATATGGCAAAAAGGGAGGATGGAAGGATGGAAAAACAGGGAACAGCCAGAGATGCTTTGTTCTTGTCCCATATACACATCAAATATCAGCCTTGGGGCTGATAGAGAGTGCTCCGGGGGCTGGAATGAGCTCCCCTTTGCTGCCCTGTGCCCTCCATCCTGATGTTGGGGCTGGGTTTTGGGATCACCTTCACGCTGCAGCCTGTGAGTGCTGGCCGGGATCACACACTGACCCACACGGGGCTGCCATGGTCCAGGGCTGCCCGGGCACTTGGCACTTGATCAGAAACTTTCCACTGAGTTCAGAACATCTCAGCTATTTCTGTGAATAAAAAAATAATAACAAATTTAAAAAAAAAATCTAGGCTGATTCAAAAGGAAGAAAAGTGCTACTGCTTCAGCCAGGTCTGTTCTCAAGCAGAGCATGTTTAACATCCAAAAAAAAAAAATCATCCTGTTTCTGAGTAAAAATGCTCAGGCGCTGACTATCAACGTGAGCAGCATCGCTCAGGCAAATGGTGTTTACACCCCGAAGCCTTCAGACTTTCTAGATTTCACCTGCTTCTCGGCAGAACCCCCTTGAGAAAATGTTACCAAACAAGGCAATACCGGGGTGGATAAATTGCCTGGAACAAATGAGCCGGAATTCACACGATCCCATTCTTCATGTAGGCAAGGTGTCGCTCCTCCAGCAGTCCCCGGGGGCGAGCGCCCACCCTGCAGAGCGTGGCCCCGTGGTCCCAAACCCCTGCTCGGCACCGGGCACCGCGGTGGCAAAGGGCTCGCAGGCGCTGCGGTGCTTTCTGCCATCCCTCGCTGGGTGCGTTGGGAATCGTAAGCAGCAGCAAAGCGAGCTCTCTGCTTTATTTTTTTTTCCCTAGGTGAAGGGGAAGAGGGATTTTGCGAGCGCTTCAGCATCGGCTGCAGAAATGGGGTGTCGAGAGGGAGGATTGGGGCTGCTGCTGCGAGAGCCGATCCCGCTGCCGGAGGAGGCGTTTTGGGACACGCACCCTCCCGTCGTCACTGCCTGTCCCTCTCCTGCAGCTATTTCTGCCTCAACTTTCCACCGAGCTGCTTCCAACGCTTCCCAGTCTAAAACCATGCTGGTTTAGACAGCCAGTTTCATCCCCCCCTTCCATGTCTCGTTTGCATATATTTGCATAGCACACAGGTTTCTGGGAGGGGAGGAGGAGCTGGAGAGGCACATCCTTTATTCCTTTTATTTTTTTCCCCCTCTCAGCAGAATTGCATTTATTTATTTAAATCGGGCGCTGTTGCTAAGAGGGGCTCGCTCCTCGCCTGGTCCCGCGGATGGGGCTGTAGGGATGGGTTTGCTCATTTTTTGGGTCACTCGAAAGGTGTCGAGCAGGTGCACCCAGACCCCATCCTGGCATATTTGCCATTCCCTCGGCCTCGCTTCCAAAAAAGCTGCCCCTCGATGGAGGCACTGCTGCAGCAAATGGTGCCCCCCCTGCCCACAGCCAGTCTGGCACCTTGCTGGGCTGGAGCCCGGTGTATTTTGGGGGTGGTGATGGATGTTCTGGGGGAAATTGGCTTTCCAGGTCTGTATTTTTTTTTTTTCCCAGTTTCCCAGCCAAATTGGAAATGCAAACTGTGGGCAGGCGGAGCTCCTGCGTTTTGGCAGCTGGTTTTCCCTTCCTAGGGATGCTCTGGATGCAGAATGCCCCCAGGGTCAGATGCGAGCCGGGTATAAACTCGTAGGATTTGCTGCTTGCTGGGGGCAATCACACGGGTCCCAGCACTCGTCTGCCTTCCCACGGCACCTCTGCCATCGGGCTCTGCTCCTGGCTAAAAGTTCCTGGCTGGCCCAGGCAGAGGGTGACTGCACCCTCACCCCAGCTCCTGCACTGGGATGGCTGCAGGGAGGGGAAGGAAAACTCCTCTTTTCACTGGGCTCTGCAGGGTTTCCTTTCCCTGGGGCTTTGCTGGGTTGGAATTCTCCTGTCTGGTCCCTGTCTGGGTTTGGTTGCCTCCTCGGCTCTCCTGAAGGTCTCCTTCCCGTGGGATTTGCTGCTCTTCTTGGAAAACAGCAAACCTTTTGGAGTAGGTTTCCCAGAGCCTAGCCATGGTCCTGCTTGGGCACCTGCAAAGAGCTCTGTCCCCATCCCTGTGGGCTCGTTCTTGCTTCTCCCAGAGAGATTAGAAGGCAAGTCCCTTGATGTCCTTGCTACAATATTTTTTTGCTCTAAGAGGATCAGGGCACCTCCTGGCTGTCCTGCCAGGTGGAAGAGCAAACCAACAGGGCTGTGGGTGCGCAGGGCTCACCTCGCCGGGATGGATTTCTCTTTCTCTTGGGGGCAAGACGAGGAGGGAGACCAGTTGTGTGCCGAGATGGGGAGGATGGGGATGGTGATGGTGGGGAGGGAGCTGCTGGCTAGAACCAAGCAAGGAAGGCAGAGGGCTGGCTGTGGCTGGCATGGCACGGCTCAGCTTGGCACGGCTGCTGTGTCCCCGTGCGCCACTAGGACAGGGCAGCACCGGGTGGTGGCTCGGCTGTCACCTGGGAAGGCGAGCTCCGTGCTGGCTTTCTGTCTCCGGGTGCTGGACACCACAAACCTGAAGACCTAAACCAGGATCAAACCCCCCCAGCTCTGTGCCACAGGGACCCCAGCCCCGAGGAGCCGGGGGCTCTGCTGGGAGCGCCCTTTGCTCCCGTGCCCTCTGGCTCGCCAAGCTTCCCCAGCGGCGCGGCGCGGAGGCTGTTTGTCTTCAGCTTGACCGTTCCTCCGCCTCCCCCGCCTGTCTCCTCCGCTTCCTCATTCTCGGTGTCGGGTTGAGCAAGAGCAGAGCGGAGCCTCCTCGGGATCAGGGTGAGGCCGGGGGGGCCTTGAGTTCCAAGTTCCTTTTTTTTTTTTTTTTTTCTTTCCTCCTCCTTCGCCCTGCACACAAAGCCGGGCTGTGATGAAACTCCATCCCTGCCTCGCTTGCAGCGCTCACGCACGGCACACGCTGGAAATAATTGTCCTTGGTGGAGCTCTGCGAGCTGCAGGGATTTAACCGAAAAGAGGTGGCAAGCAGTTGTATTTCTGCGCTCTGCGTTTCAGTCTCGCGGTGGCCCCTGGCTACAAGGTGGCTTGGAGGCAGGCATGAGCTGGGGGTCTCCATGCCCTGGGCCCGATCTGGGAGCTGTGTGACCGCGTTGTGTAGCACCAAGCCCTGAGTTTCTGTCTCTTGCCATTCAGCAGCGCGTATCGCGTTGGGCTTGACATGGCTTTGATCTGCTTGAGCTCCAGCGGAGCAAGCCGTGGCTGCCTGCAGCGCACCGTGCAGGGCTGGCACTGCTATGGGTGTGCTCTGAGCCCTCTGTGAAGTCCCTGTGGGTTTTGCCAGGGTTGGGGTCACATCCTGCAGGGGGAATTTCTGTAGGTGCCAAGCCTTAGAGGAAAAAGCAAACGTGCTCTGGCTCTGGGGCCAAGCGTTGGAGGTGTTTGGAGCAAGGATTTTGTCTGAGCGTCCTTAAGGGTCCATTTTCAGCACAAAAAGGGCAAGGACAGGCTGGCCAATGCCACCAGAACATCTCTGAGCAATTCTGGCTCTGTGCTGAGCAGAGCTCAGCATTTTCGGGGTGTCCTCAAGCTCCTGCATGGGGGTGCGTGCTCAGCACCCCGGGCACAGCTCGCCCTGCCCCTGCTTTGCTCCTCAGCCACACCAGCTCTCCTCCTCTTCTCATTCCCCAAACTTGCCAACTCACCCCGCAGTATTGCAGAGCTTGTCAGGCTTTTTCCCAGTTGTGGAATCTCTCTCCACAAAAACATTTTGTTTTCTTCAAAATCCCTATTCTCGTTTTCTTATTTTTTTTGTTTTTCCCCAACAGCCAACCCATTCTCCCATGAATCTCCATAGATTTCAGCCCTCGGCCACTGGGGATCTCCGTTGCTGGCTATCTCCGCTGGCTTTAGCTCTCTGCGCTTGGTCAAGGTCAGATGTGGCTCTTTTTTTTCTGCTCCCACTGGAAACGAGCCCAAATCCTTTTGCTGTGGAGACGCGGGGCTGGTGGCACAGCGATCCACCCTCGGTGAGCACCCGCCTGCCACCGCTCCTGCTCTCACCACTTCTGCCTCCTGGGGACGTGCCAGCGAGGAGCAGAGATCCCTGCAACCCCTAAACTTATTTCTCCCCCCCAAAAATAAGGCGGATGCGATTCCACGTGTGTTCCTCGGGGCTGTGCAGAGAGGCTCGTGCATTATTTACCGAGCTGTGCAGCCGGAGCCAGCCCTGACCCTGCTCTCGCCCGGCTGAGATCGGCGGCGGAGGGAGCGAACCCCTCCTGGTGGCACGGTGCCGGTGGCTGGAGCTGGGCTCAGGTTTCTTGCTGGATGGATCTGGTGGCCCAGCAGCAGTGTCTGGCCCTGCTGCCCCTTGGTGTGGTGCTTGGGGCTGGGCTCAGCCCCTTGTAGCCCCCCCGGAGCTGCACCCACTGCTGTGGTGCTGTGCTGGGGGTGCGCGAGGCGGGCTGACCGTAAAGCCCCATGCGAGCACTCAGCAGCGGAGCCAAATTCTTGACTTTTGGCCCTTGGTGGGGGGGTGTGGGGTGGGGAGGAGGAGGGATGTGTTGTGTTCGAGCCCCGTTTTGCCTCCACCACCCCCTCACCATGAAAACAGCCCCAGCAAAGCGCTGCACCCGCCTGGCACGCAGCTTGGCCCCCTCTGCTCTCCCCATCGGGGCCGGATGGGGCATGGGGGCTACCCGCATAACACCCCCCTCTTTTTCCTCCCCCCTTTTGTCCCCCTTAGATCTCACATCTCCTAAAAAACCCCCTTCTCCCCGGCTGCTTTTTTTCTCGCTAACCTCCACTCGCTTTGCCTCTCCTCCCCTCCCTCCCTCCTCTCCATCTCCCTCCCTCCCTCTCTCTGGGGGGAAAAAAGGTCATTGCGCAAATGATTAGTCAGAGCTCAGTTGCTGTAGCAACCGGCTGCTGGAACTGGGACAGGCGTGCAGCGAGGACAACGGAGAGGTCGACCATCAGCGAGGGCTGGGGAGCCCAGCCTTTGTATTTCCTTCCCCGATCCAGCGAGCGAGGCGGTGCGAAGCCCCCTGCCCCACGCCACGCATGGGGATGTATCCGTGCCCGGCCGGGGTGGCAGTCCCTGGGTTGGGACATCGCCCCCGTGGTGTGGTTGGAGCTGGTGGCTCAGTGCCACCACGGTTTTGGAGCTCTCTGGCTGCTCCTGGCCACGTGTGGCTCTGTCCTTTGGGGCCATGCCCCTGCTTGGGGCAATTTCCTGCAGCCACGCGGGGCTCTGGGGCTCTTTGTCCCCTTGTGGCATCCCGCATGGGGTGTGTGAAGCTGAGTTCCTCCTGTTCCGGCACGAGGATCTGGGTGTTGGCTGTGTCCTGCCTATGTCCAGCTCCAGAGCACTGCTCTCCATCTGCCTCTGACCCCCTGAGCAGCTTCAAGCAGAGACCTCTCCAAATCCTCCTCTGCTCCCTGCCCCAAGCTCGAGGATATCAGCGGTGGCTGGGGGCTGCTTACCCCTGGAGGGCAGGGTGAGGACCCTGCTGGGGAAGGTCAGGCAGCGTTCAGGGTGGTTTTCACCCTGCTGTGGTCTTCAGGAGGTTTTCTTGCCAGGCTCAGCCTGTCCCAGTCCAGGAGGAGCAGCGGAGCCAGCAGCATCACTGTGCAGCCTGGCAGGACCCCGTGCAGGGCTGCGAAATGGGGAGAGCAGAGGGGGTCCCCTATTGCAGTCCTTGCCCTGGGCAGCGCTGCCTCTGCAGCTCCACAGCTCTGCTATTTTCCTCTTTAGCCCCCCAAATCCTGCTGTGCCCCTGTGTCTGCCTGTTCCCATCGCCAGCTCAGGAGCAGAGCCGGTGTCCCACGTTAGGGTGAGGTGGGAGAGCTGCCTCCATTTCTGCTGTTTGCCTTGCACACCGTTCAAGGCGTGCAGAAAGCAGGTTCAGCTCGTAGCACACGCTGCCTTTAAGCTGCTCCCTGCTCTTTGTGTGCTGAGCAGGGATCTGGGGCCACGCTTGGTGAATGGGGGGTAAACTGGGCTTTGAGACCCCCAAGGGAAAATGCTCAGGAGGAGCTGGGGGCTGTGGCAGCTCCGAGCTGGTACCAGTGCTGCTGGGGAGGGGATGAGAAACTTCAGGAGCATCTCTGGGACAGCTGGGTGGGCTCCGGGTGGCATTTAAGGGATGTCTTTGGTGTCCTGCGTAAGGTCAGGCTCTGCCCATTCATCTAGGAGGCTGTGGTTTGGCGTCCTCAAGCCTAGGAAATGATTTTAGCCCGAGTTTGTGAGAAGTGCAGGAAAAGGCTATTTATGCAGAAAATGGCTTCCAATAAACAGGCTTCCTCTGGGAGCGGAGAGAAATTGCTGAGATGTGCTGGAAGTCTTTTCGCTTTGCTGGGACCCTCCTTGAGTGCCGAGAGAGACTTGGCTGTGCCGTGCTCCCCAGAGCCCTCCTGGCAGCCCACTGGGGTGGCTGCAGATGGAGAGGGGCTCGGAGGGCGCTGCTCCCACCATTTGCCTCGTCTCTCATCTCTTCCTTCGTTCCTTAAAACCTCATTTTTTGAAGCCGTGTGGCTGCAGAGTGCTGGCAGGGGGTTTGCTGCTTTCAGGGCTCCTTTCCTTGCCGTAGCAGAGAGGAGCGCAGCAGCGTGATGTAAGAGTGGCCTACAGGCTCAAAAGCCAGTAGGGAAATAAAAACAAGTCAGCCACTCTCCTTCCTTTTTTTCTTCTCCTTCCTTTTTTTCTCTTGCAAATCTCATCATTTTAAAAGCCGTTCCCTGGTTTTTCCAGGGTCTGGAAATCTTTGGGAGATGTGAATGCTCGGAGCTGACCCCACTGTGTTTGCGCTCTGCTTACCTTGGGTGCTGGGGCCGTGTTTTCCTTTGGAGATGGTGGGTGCAGCTTCGGTCCAGCTGACTAATATTTCAGGTTATCAGAAATGACAAAAATGAATGAATGAATGAAAGGCCTCCAGGAGAGAGGCAAAAATCCTTGTGACTCACTCCAGTGATTCGCATTTGAGCCCGAAACCACAAAATGGTGCCTGCTCCCTGCTGCCCCTCGCAATGTGCTGGGAGACCGCCACCACCCAGAGCTGGGTCCTTCTCCCTTGGGAAATGGGGCCGCCAAGTCCCCAGCCCATCACTGCTCCTTTTTGCTACCTCTCCCCTCTCTCAGCGCCCTCCTTACTCCTGTAGGACCTCCAGGGTATAGGTAGAGGGGCGGCTGTGCTGGTGCTTGAAGGCTGCAACCCCTGGAGGGAGCATCCGTGAGCTGCAAGAGGCAGGGAGGAGGTTTGGGAATATTTTTTCTCCTGTGGGTGATATCTGAGAGACCTGAAGCAAGCAGTGCTTGTCTTTGATGGTTTAGGGAGCACATTTGTGGCCGTGTGATAGCTCACGGCTTGGAAAGGGCAGAGGGGGGGAAGACTGGGGCCACCCTAGTCCATCCCACAGCAGTAGGTGGAGGTGTGTGCTGTCCGAGGAGGTAGGGAAGGCCTAAAAGTATTTAAAAACAAGTGCTTGAGGTCTGTCTTACACCACTGCTGTGCTGTGCTTTGCTGGGAACCATCTGCAGGGCAGGATGGGGCCGGCTGCGAGGCCAATCTGCGGCGCACACCCAGTGGCAGGATGGATCTGGGCTGGAGGAGATGGGCAAGGAGCACGGGGGATGAAGGAGTGGACCCTTTCCCTTCATTCTCCTGTCTTACTGCGCTTCTGCTCCTCCCAAGAAATGTACTTGCGAGCGTTTGTCAGTGATTGCCATCGAAACCGGAGAAAATCTATAAGCTGGGGTCAGGCTCCTCTTCCAGGCTGTCGTGTCAGGAGAATCCCTGTGCCTCCTCCCTAAAACCGCAGGGAGCAGCCCCCGTGCTCAGCTCTGCGGCTCACTGACACGGGCATGGTGCTCGGGAGGTCTCCAGCAGATGTTGGCTGGCGGTGGCGAGGAGCCGGAGCGGTGCCTGGGGACACCACGGGCTCGGGGAGGTGCCTGAGTGATGCCCAGCAGATGAGCCTGCCGTGGGCTTGGGGTGATGGGGTTTGGAGGAAGACCCTCGAGGGAAACCCACCGCAGAGCTAACGCGTGCTGTCCTTTTGGTTCGTGCTTTTGTTGAGGGTCCTGGCTTGGTGCCCGTGGGCTGTGTGGGCAGGGAGTGCCCGAGGCCAGCGGGGAATTGTTCCCAGCCCAGCAGCTCCTTGTTGGAGAGGACGTTTCACCCAAATGGGATGTGGGCTCGCTACCGAGCGGTGATCAGGCAGCACGGGGAGGAGCCCAGCTGCTTGTCTTGGCATTTAGCTCACTGTGGGGTTGGGGGGAGCACGAGGAAGCCGCTCAGGGGCTTTGCTCGGGGTTTGGCACATTGCTGCTGGTGCCAGTGGGGTGGGTGCTCGAGCGCCTGGCTCATGGTGCTTGGCTGAGACCTGCAAATCAGCACCTCTGTAGGGTTGGAGGGTTCCTGGGTTGGTAATCTCTTAAAAGATCTCTTAAAAGTTGAATATTCATCAGTGCCTGGTGGCTTATTTCTTGTGTGCATGTGAGAAACCACCCAGCCAGCAGCTGAGGGAGTGCCTGATGGTGCTGGGTGCTGGCACAGGGAGCCAGGCTGCCTTTCTGCTCCTTACCCACCCCGTCTCTTCCACCTGGCCTGAGATGAGCCCCCAAAAGGACCAGGCTGGCTGACCTTTGGTGATGTGCACCCCGATGGTGAGGGTCAGCCCCGCTTCACCCTGTGAGGGCGGTGAGGAACGGCACGTCCCCGTGCACCCGAGCCCCGAAACGGCACGCGGGGAATGACGCAGCGAAGGTGAAATATCAAAGGGAGAAGGGGAAGTGCGTGGCAGGAGCAGGGGAAGCAGAGGAGAGAATAGCCGGAGCTGACCTCAGCGGGGCGGGAGCGGGGTGGGGAGCCCGGCTGCATGCATGGAAGGGAAATGGGGAGAGGATACAGCTGGGACCGGCCAGCACCGAAACCGTCCGCGCCCTGTGCACCGGCACGCGCTGGCCCTCGCTGTTGGATTTGCCTCTTCCCACTTTCCTAAGGGCACACGTTGTGGATGGAGCATCCCAGCGTGGTCCAGGGAAGCTGTTTGGATCCTTTCTATACCCCTCCTGTGCCTCGCAGTGCGCAGGGATTGCAGCAAAAGCATCCAGCCTGGTGCCACCCGAGCGCGGTGCTCGCATGTGGCTGCGTCCCCGTGCCATGGGTGGAGGATCCAGCCCTCATCTCGTGCTCAGCCTCACTGCAAACCCCACTGTTGACAGCCACGGTGCATCCAGACCCAGTTCTCTGTGCCCTGGTGGTGATAAAGGCAGCACAGGACGGGTTTTGGCCATCGAGCCTTCCCCAGCAGTGTCACGGCAACTGGGGCCACGTGTTGGGAAGTGGCACAAGCTGTCCCAGGGTCACTGCTGTCCCTGCAAGTGCTCCCGGCTCTGCCCAAGGATGGCTGACTTTTTTTTTTTTTTTTGCATGTGGAGTTTTATTTTTAGCTGGAAAAAAAAAAAAGCCCCAACAACCAGCCCTTAAAAACAAACGCACGCAAAGTTTTCGTGAAAAGAAAAAAAACATAAAAATCTCAACATAATGGAATTTTTTCCCTTCTTCGCAAAACTGCCTGTGACATTTCTAAATGAAGGGTTCCTCCCGTCCTTCTGCTTTTCCCCCTCAATCTTCAGTGAAATTTCTTCCTTCCCTAAGTCGCCCTCTTTTCCTCCCTGAGATAAGCTCCCTCAGGAGGAGCAGCAGCGAGCACAGGGAATGTTTTTTCTGCAATGTTGCTTTTTGAAAAAAGGATAACAAGTATACCAGAAAAAAAAAAAAAGGCAAATATCTTTTTTGAACCTATTAAATTAGAGTGGGATTAATAAGTTTTATTGTTTTCCCTCCCCTTTTTCAAGCAAGTTCTTATCTGCTCTAAGCTTTTGGTGTGGAAGGGCTGGGACAGCGAGGCAAGGAGCAGCTCTTTGCTTTGCTCTTTCTTTGCACGAGGGGAGAGGATTTTCCCCCCGGTTGTCTTCCTTTGGTGCTCGAGAGTTGCCCTGGGAGCTCGTGACGCTGTTAGCCACCAAAAACTCACCACCTGGAGGGATTCACACCCCAACCATCTCCTCTCTTGCTCAGAAATCAGGGGGGTCGGGGTGGATGTGAGGATTTGGGAGCGGCACGGCAGAGCCCCCGTGTTCTGGGGTCCCTTCCCTGGCTCTCCATCCCACTTTCTGGTGACCTCATGAAGTCCGCTTTGTCCCTCTTTGCCTTGGTTCCCCCATGTGGGGAAGAGGAGGGCTCTGTCTTTGCACCCATGGGTTTATTTAACACCCTGTCATCCTGCTGAGTCGTTGCAGGAGTTTGCTCAACCACGACCCACTCGGATGGAGCAAGGGGCAGGAGTTTTCCTCCTGGTTTAGGAACCTCCGGGTGCTTTTCAGGAGCAGCTCCTGCTTTACAGGACTGGAAAGCACCAGAGATGGACCAGAGATGGAGATGTTTTGTCCTGAGCCAGCCAAGCTCCATGTTCCCTGGTGCCCAGAAGAAGCAAGCCATGTGCCAGAAGCTCGGTGTGCCTGGCTCTGCCCAGGAGCAGCAATTTTCTGTAGGTTTAGGGCTACGCAACCACATCTCCTGCCCAGGGTCGTGGTGCCAAGGCTGAGCTCTTGGTGTGACGGCTGTGCCCTGGGCCACTTGCTCCTTCTGGCCCCGGAGGCTTTGCAAAATTCTTGGTGCCAAGAGAAGAAAACACCCGAGGCTGTGCCACCCCAAAGCAAATCATCCCCTGAGGTCCTGCCCGAGGGGACGGCGCGGCTGCGCCCCACGTACCCCATCCCTCGCTCAGAGGGGACATTTTGGGAAGGGGCTGGTGCTCCTGCCTGCATCTTCGCATCCCTGCAACCCTCCCTGCCAAACTGCAGGGGAAACAACCTCCCCGTGTGCCAGCACTGCCTGCCTGCAGCCCCCGTGGAGCCTTACAGCCCCCGGCCGTGCAGAGCCGGAGCGGGGAAGGGGAGCAAAGCAACCACGCTCTGTCCAGGCTATTTATTTTGTGCTGGGGTAAGGGATTTTTTATATATATATATATATATATATTTTTTTTGCTTCAGACATGCGATGAGTGTGTTACTCAGCCATGACTCGAAAACTTGTGAGCAATAAAGTCATCCTGAAGTCTGCCAAAAAAAAATCTTCGCAGCACACCCACCTCCTCACACGTTCCCACTGTAGCTCCTTCAGTGTGATCTTGCTGCCGAAACGCGGCTACCTCCAGGGGGGCTGCGGTGGCCATCTGGGAGCTTGCGGCAATAGCCCATGGGCACAGCACCCTGGGGTGGCACCTGCCTGGGGACTGGGGCCACCACAAAAATAGCGGGCTGGGGCTTGCTCCAAAATCCAGGAGAAAACAGGGCTGGAAGGGCGTGGAGAGGCTTGTGTACCTCGGTGTAGTCCTTCCCCTAAAGAATGGGTTGGGTCCCACGTTGTTGGGTTTGACCTTTTGGGGTCCAGACCAACCCCAAATCCCACATGGGGTGGAGAGACTATGGCCCTTGCACCTCCTGAAAGGACCTGAAGGGAAGGGACCTTCAGGAGCAGCTCCTTGGGTTCTTGGGTCCCGTACGTGGCCCCATGGGGACTGGCTGCATGTGGGGCTTCCCTGGGGCTCCAGGAGCCCTACACCAGCCCACACCAGCCACCATTTGGGGTGGCCATCGGTGGTGGCCCCGGGAAGAGGTGCCATGGAGACGTGTAGGATCTGCTGCTAAACCAGCCAAGTGGGGTTGGCGTTGTGCATCAAAACCCAAATTCCCATTACCGGGGACTGCACCAGGAGGCAGGGGGGAGCCGGAGCCATCACCCCTCGGGGTAAAGGGTCTGATGGCTCTGGGACTGGGGTGCTGTTGGGGTGGGATAACGGGGCTGTCAAGCTCTGGGGTGGGCCAGAAGGGAGAAGGTTGGAGCCAGAGGCACCCTGTAACCTCCCCGCGGGCGGGCAGCGGGTTGGGGGCAGCACCCCCCCACCTCGCCCGAATTACCGGGGTAAAAACCTCCTCCGCCAAGGCCTCCTCTCCCCACCCTTTCCCCGCGCCGGGGCCCTAAATAATTGATAGGCTGCTAAATAATAGATCTGGTATTTGCTCCTTCGCCGTTCTCCGGCGGGGCGTGCGCGCTCGCAGCCTGGCGCTGCTGCATTAGGGTTACAGCGGGTGCGTGTGTGTCGGCCGGGGTAGGGAGCTGTGCAGGGAGAGGGGAGAGCATTCCGGGGAGATAAAGGGCTGGTTTGATGTGTGTTCATGTGGCGGGGCTGTTTTGCCTTGCATGCCTTTCTCTTTTGCTTTATTTTTTTTTTTTTTTTCCTGGAGTGAAGCCTGGCGCCAGCAGTCTGGAACCAGCCTGACAAGCTTTTGAGTTATGGAAAGGGGGGAGGCGGCGGAGAGGGGGGAGGAGGAGAGAGAAAAGAGGGAGCGAGAGAGGCAGGGAGGAGGAGGGCGAAGGGAGAGGGAGGCAGCTGGGCTGGGGGTTATTAGGGGAGAACGCACACAGGGGGCTGGAGAGGGGGGTGGCGAGGGCTGGGGGCTACCAGGGCTGGTGGGGAGGGGATGGAGCTGGCTCCTCGCAGAGCTTTCAAAGGAGATTTCTCGCACTGGGGGGGGAGGAGGGAGAGGGGGAATTGAGTCATTTTGGGCATGAAACGCAAAGCTCGCCGCGTCAAGGAACAAGGAAGTTTTTTAAAGCTCCAATTAAAGGGCTTGGAGAGGTCCGGGGCTTTTAAACAGCCTCGGGAAGGAGTGTAGGGGGGGGGGTGTGGGGGGGTCCTGGCTGGCGTTCAGGCTGCCGGCCCATCAGGACATTCCTTTCTGCTGAACGCTGCTGCTCCCGGCCCTCTCCTCCTCCTTTTCCAAGCTGCCGTCGAATCCTTTCCAAGTCCCGCGTCCGAACCCGGGGAACTTTTTGCTCCGTTTCATCTCTCGCCGCCTGCCTCCCCCGGCCTCAGGCTGCGCTCGGGGCTTTGATCCCGCTCCGAGCCCCCCGGGCGAGGGGTTCTGGGCTCACAGCTCACCCCCAGAGCCACCAGCAACCCTCCCTGGGGTGCTCTCTGCCCATTATCGCCCCAAAAGTCCCCTCTCTGGAGGATGGAGACCCCCCATCTGCTGTCACCTCCTTGCTGCCCCGTTGGGGGGGGACCTGGCCCTAAATGGGATGGGATGGGATGGGGTGGGGTGGGGTGGAAGCACCCGCTGGGGTATCCAGGGGGTGGCCTGGGCAGAGCTTTTGGAAGGGTCCCACCGGGGACAACCCGTGGGGGACGTGCGAGCACCGTGGGGTGCCCATGGGGACAGCTCAGGACCTGCTCCAGGGCTTTCTGTGGCTCCAAGATCATGGTGGCATCCCCCGCAGATGCTCTGGAGCAGGGTTAGTGGCGCATTTTCCTCCCAGGTACCTTCTCATTGCCTTCTACAAACGCCCAGCACAGGAGGAAGCCCTGCACCAGCTTCACCTGCCCGTGCTCCTGAGCCCTGGCACCGGGACGGGGCTCGCCCAGGCTCGGGGAGGGAACTTGTCCTGCTGGGGCTGGGGATTTGGAGCTGCCTTTTGCAGGGGCTTTGTGTTGTTTTGTTTTTTTTTGGTTTCAGCACAGCCCATTTCTCTCTGGCGAACGTTTGGGAGAAAGGAGTTCTTTGTTACAGATTGAACAGCCTGAGGTCCTCAAGTCAGCTCGCACGGGGAGGCAGTAGGTGGGCTCTGGGAAGTTGAGGTGTCCGAGGGACGGGCTGGTTTGACACCGCTCGAACCCCTAAAGGCAGGAAACAGAATCGGGGTTCGTGCACCCAGCTCCCAGAGCAAACCCGAGCAGGAGCGCTGCGAAGCGCCACCACCATCTGCCAAGGCTTTGTCTTCGCAGAGGAGGTGGCAGGGGGAACACCCAGCTTGCCGAGCTCTCCATTACAGGTTGCTTCTGAGCTGCAGCTCTTCGGAAAAAAACACTTCTTTCTCTGGGTTTCCAGGAAGCAAAATGTTGCCCTCCACTGTTTGCTGAGGATCTGGAACGCAGCTCGCTGCCTCGCAGCCCAGCTGGTGCCGTGCTCCGGCACCACGGCCCCTCAATCCCATGCCAGGAGGTTTGGGGAGGGACAGCCCCTGCCCAGCCTGGAGGTGCTGAGCACACCCGCAGGAGGTCCTGTGCCCCTCCACCAGCCCCCGATCCCAAACACCAACTGCTCTCGGGGCTCCCACCCCGCACATCAGCGCAGGGCGTAGCTTTGGGTTCAGTTTGGACCAAGTTGGGTCCGCTGAAGACCAAGCTCCTCGCACTGTGTTTCGTACAATAACAGCCCTGAGCAGCTTCCGTGTGCATCCTGAGACCAAATTCCTCCATCCTTCCCTTTCCCTCTGTTTCTTCTCGGTGCTTATTTCATCTCTTCCAGGTAACCATCGAGGCGCACAGGCAAACTTGTCCTCCAGCTCCTCCTGGCTGGAGGTGGATCCATCCTGCTGGGTTTCACAGACCTCCAACATTTAAAAGTTGGGGTCTTAGACCAGTAAATGGAGGGAGCGATTGCTCTTATCTGTTAGGTGAGGAAACTGAGGCACGGGCTACTCATGGAAATCAGTCGGAGCTCAGGGCAAGGATCTCTGCTGGCTTTTTCTTGGAAACCTTGGCTCCCTTTGTGCTCGTTGTGTCTCTGGTTCCCGAGATGCTGCCGGGAGGGAGGTGACCCCGCTCCCCTCCCTGCCCAGAAGGGAGCAGGAGCTGTTGGGGACGGAGCCGGGGACACGGCCCCGTGCCCAGCTCCAACCCGCTCGCAGGCGGCAGGCGGAAATAAAACGTAATTCGGGGCTGCCGGAGCCGGGGAAGAGCGAGATGAGTCTTGGTGGGGAGAGACCAGCCTCACCTTTCATATTCTAATGCCTTGCCTTTGCCTGATTTGTGAGCTCTGGGGAGTCCTGCTGGGAATTCACTCGAACGGAGGCACACGCCGCCGTCCCTCGGTAAATTACACAGAGATATAATGAAGGAGGAGAAATCAGTTACTCTGTGACTGCGGCTCCCCAGGGGACCTTAATTCAAATATTTGTGGAGCTGAGCAAGTGGGGCGTTGGGGAGCCGCCGAGTTGGAGTGTCTCTAGACAGGTTTCTTGCAGGTGGTTGGTGACGGCGGGGCCGCGCGCCGGGCTGAAGGAGTCTCCTCAAAGGGGGTTTTGGGCTCCTGACGGCGCTTTGGGTGGTGTTAGCCAAGAGGAAGATGATGGAGGAAGACGGGGCCGTGGTCCAGGTGCAGCACGTGGGGCTTTGGTGCTTGGGCTGGTGGTGGTTGGGAGGTTTGTGGAGGGCTGGGAGCCCACAGCTCCAGGCTCTGCATCGCCCCAGCACTGTCCTACAGGGTCAGGGACTGGGACAGGGACTGGGACCTGGTTGGGAACAGCCCTTGTGAGGTTCCCTCCAGCCAGAAGGGAGCAGGGCACGTGTGGGTTTGCATAAAGGAAGCAAGCTCCTCTCCACCACCACGTGGATTTCATGTTCAGTAGGGAACACAGAACGGGTTCCGCGCTGCAGGGCAGCCAGGGGTGGGCGAACCCCGCGTTGCTCAACTTAGGGAGGAGAAAATCCATTTCCCTCCAGCTCCACCACCAACCTGTTCCCTCCTGCACCCACGGCTTTCTCCTGCTTCTCCTCTCAGGGCACGCCAGTGCTGTAGACCTTCGGGAGCAGCCAGGACCCTCTGTGCCTGGCCAGCACGCCGCTGCCACCAAACGGGGCACAACCGGGGCTGTCCCCACCTTTGCTGGGTGCGTGCAGCTCCACGAGGCCCCACACTATAACCTGAGCACTCAGAGATGCCGAGAGCGATGCGAGTGAGCGTGAACACCCGCAGCCGTGCACACAACCCTCGCGCACACCCTCGCACGTGCACATCCACCGGGCCTCCCCGCTGCCGTGCCGGCACCGAGCGCACAGCAGCCACGGAGGCGCACGCACGCTCGCTCCCCACCGGAGCAGCACGGCTCAATTTCATCTCCGGGTGCCGGGGCTGCCCCACGCCACAAGGGTAATCCCGTTCCCACCCCGTGGCACCCGTGGGTGCCCTCCCCTTGCACGCACAGCGCCGCGGCTCTGCGTGCACACGCGGCCGCGCACAGATCTGCAGCACGCCAACTGTTGGGAAGGGGAGAAAAAAAAAAACAGATTCAGCCGCGAGAGAGAGAGAGAGGGAGAGGTGGCGGGGGGAGAGAAAGAGAGAGAGAATGACAGACTGCAATCCCCCTTGAGTGCCTATCCTCATGAATATTAATAAGGTGGTAATTAAAATGCAGGGACACAGCAGGACGGATGCAGGCGCTGCCTTCGGAGCGCTGGGAACGGGGGGAGCGCGTCTTTCCAGGCAGGTTTTGATTCCGTTCTCTGATGAAAAGAAGAAAACGGAGCCTTCAACTTTAATCAGTTTAGAGTTTTTTTGACACGACATATCTTTAATTGCTGAGATTTCTGCCTCTTCTCAAACCCGGCTCTACCGTCTCCAGTCTAACCGGAGATAACGAGCCGCGGTGCAGCGCCGCGGAGCCGTGCCGTGTTTACACCTCGACTTGTTTGCTACTTCGCTGGGGTTTCACTTCTCTGCCTCGGGTCGGAGGGCACGGCCCTGCCGCTGCTTCCTTCTGCAACGAGGGGTGGGCGGCTGGAAACGCAGCCCAGCACCTCTTTGTGTAGCCCCCTCCCCACAAAGCGTCCCCATGGTGCTCGCCGTAACGTCACCTCCTCTGGGTAGGAGGGTTGGAAAATGGGAGCTGGGTGGTGGCAAGAAGCTTGGGTTGGGCTGGGAAGAGACATCCACACCACAGGAGGTTCCTCCAGCGTAAAAACAGTTTTCTGCCATGATGTTGAGTTACGGAGGAGGAAGGAGGCTTTTTTTCCTCCAAAACCACGGGTTGGAGGTCGGGTGAGGATCCTCCGGGGGATGCTCAGGGCAGGCTCGGAGGTGAGCAAGGTGAACCCAAGCGTTCCTTGCTCTTGGAGACGAGAGTCCAACGGGTCTGGTCCATGGATGGTGAACCACGTTGCTGGGAAAACAAATGGGGAGCGATGGTTGGTGCCCAAAGGGGTCGTGTCTGGTGTGGGAGCTGGGCCAGGGCAACCCAGAGCTGGGCTTTATGAGGGACTTTCTCACAAAGGACCCACAAAGTACCCCAAACCAGCATGAAGGTTTGTTTCAGGTCTGCTTTGGGCAGAAAGGTTTTGGTTTCATTGTGCTTGGAGGGTGCTTAACTTATTTTTATTTTTTTTTAGGTCTCCTCTTTCACACTGAGATTATATTTGAGCTGGAAAAAAAAAAAAAAAAAAGTAGATTTATTGGAATGAAAAGGTCACAAAATTATTTTAGAAAGTGCCCAAACACACCGATCCATCACGTGAACGATGGAAGAGGAAGGTTTGCATCTTCAGAGCCTCCTTCCCTGCCCCACACCCACCACAACCCTGCCGAGAAGGAAAAGCAGAGCTGCAGCATCCCGGAGCCCTGGAGATTTTGTTGTCTGGGGGGTGGTTTTGGGGTATAACGGGGTCTTCCCCACCTTGCCTCTTCCCAAGGGATGTGGGATCCCTTCCCAGTGCCCAGGACGTGCTGTAGCAGGTGAGGGCTGCCTGCTCAGCCCGAGAGGCACCGGAGCATCGTTCCCTTGAGGCTCCATCCCACTCCCCAGACCCTTTTGGCCACCCGGGCAAGAGGAGGACAGCGCCTGGGGCTCGGGGCTAGCAGCAGGGCTTGGCCCCACCAGGCTGATGCCCTGGATGCTGCAGGGAGGAGAGAGGCTCCTTGTCGAAACAAATATCTGTGCGTGCCCTTAGCCAGCGGGGGCTTTGTGATGGTTTTTCACGTGTTTTGGTGTGGCAGGGCTGGGGGCTTTATTTTGCATTAAATCCTTCTTGGCTTTTATTGGGGTGGGTGCTGTGGTTTGTGCCTGGGGTTGGAGCTCGTTGTGCAGGAGGGGCTCACGGACAGGCTTTTCTTGGCCTCGTTGGAGCTACGAAACCCAAGGAGATGCTCTGGGTCCCCACCAGGCAGGAGGGGACAGGCAGGGGACGGACACGGAGCCGGGAGCTGGGGGAAGGGGACAGCACCTTGGGGCCAGATAAAGCCAGAGGGAAAACCAAGCAAAGCTGCCTTGGGCACCATTTTTAGGGGAAAAAACAATCTCTCCGTTCTTTTTTCTTTGTTTTGTTTTCTCTCCTTTCCCTGCTTCTCCTCCTCCTCCATCCCCTCCTCTCCCTTTCCCTGCAGCGCTAACGCAGCCGGTTTGAGGAGAGATGAGGGCCAGGTCTCGTCCTGAAGCCCCTCCACCCCAAAAACCTCCCCACGTTTCCACCGAGCCTGTGCTGAGGAATCGCTGGGAACCGCCAGGTTTGCCAGGCAGACACCAAGACAGGGCTGGGAGGCTGGGTGACAGCCCTGCGTGTGCCCGGGGCGGGGAGCGCAGCACCCTACAGCACCTGGAGGGAGAAGGAGTCACTCGGGACAGGATTTAGGTGGTGGGGAAGGGCCGGGGGTGACGTGCAGGGAGCCGAGCCCTGGCTGGGGCTGGAGCGCAGGGGGGAGGCTACAGGATGCCCCCCGGGTACTGCTTCCTCGTGGCACCCCTCCAGCAGTCCCCGTCACCCCGAGTCACATCCTGCTTGTGCTGGCTCGTGCCTCATCCTGCTGCCTGCAGTTTCTCAACCCCTTTTCCCTCCTGCCAGCGTTTCCTGGCCGCTGAGGTTGCTGCAGGGCATGGGGGGAGCAGGAGGGGAGCAGCAAAACCCTTAGGGGGGAGCTCCCCAGGCACCGGAGACACCCAGAAATTTGGGATCGAGGAGCAAACGGGAGCGTCCTGGCTCGCCCAGGGATGTTTGGAGCCTGACCCTGCTCCAGCAGCTGCCTGGCTGCTGCTTCATCCCCTGACCGCAGGCTCTGGTTTTGGAGCAGGCTCTGGTTGTGCAGCTCCGGCTGCTGTTTCCCAAGGTGGGAGCGCACCAGGTGCCCGTTCCCCGTCCCTCTGCCGAGCCAGGGAGGTGGCACGCCGTGTCCCACGTCCCTGCCCCGGGGCCGTGGCTGTGCCAGGATGCTTACACGAGCAGAACCGGGGCTGCAGAAACCTCGGTGCTGCGGCGCTGCCAGCGAGGAGCCCAGCCCGGCGCTGCAGTCCCAGGCTGAGCTTGGGTCCTGCAGAAAAAAAAAAAACAACCCTCGGCTCCATCCTGGGCTTGGCTTTCCTGGCTTTGAAGTGCTTCTGCCACAGCCAGGAGGCTTCGAGGGGAGTTTTCGGCTAAACCCGCTTGTGCCGAACCCCTGGCTAGGACGGGAGGGGAGCAGAGGGTCCCCCCAAAAAACTGCTTTTTTAGCAGCTAGCCTTTACCGGGGTGGTGGCAGAGCTCTCTCCCCGCGGGGTTTTCACCCAGGCATGACATTGCCTTTGCTTGCTGCTTCCTACCCACGGAGCTGGAGGAGAGGCTGCTGGCTCCTGCCAGAGCTGCACTGCAGAGCTCTGAGCCGCAGCTCCCCGCGCCCGGGGCTCGCCAGCCCCATCGGGGCACCGGAGGAGAAGAGACCTGGGGCCGTGGGGCAGCTCCGAGACCCCTAACAGCATCCGTGGGGCTCCAGCTCGCACCTTGCCTTTTGCTGAGGCCCGTGCCAAGTTGCAGGCTCGGAGCTTTGGGGTTTGGGTGCCCTGGAGAGCAGCCGGGGTGGGTGAGGAGCTCCGCGGGGAGCACGGCACCTGGGGTGCCGCGTTCCGCCTCGCCTCCCCCAGGGGAAGCCAGGACACATCCAAGGGAGCCCCTGGGATCATCGCACCCACTCGGGGCTCGGGGTTGGGACCTGGGGGTGCCAGCACGACGCATCCTTCCTCCTCCATCACCCTTCTCCCCGTGCCCAGGGCAGCGTGGCCGGGCACCGAGCCCACCCAGGGGTGCCGGGGCGATGGAGCGCGGGTGGCTCCTGCCTGGGGGAGCCCTCGGCTCCCCGCTCTTCCCAACAGAGCACGCAACGGTTAAATTCCTTTCCAGCTGAGCTGGCAAGCAGAGCCCAAGCATATTAGTCAGATCCCTGTAGGGGGTGGGGAGGAGGAAGGAGCAGGCAGCGAGGAGGGGCCGGAGCCCAGCACTGAGCGCTGTTATTCTCCGGGGCGAGTGCGGGGAGGCAGGCGCAGCAGGAGTTGCTGCTTCCCAGAAACTTGATTATTTTTAACCCAGGAAGAAGAAAGGAAGGAAAGGGGGGGGTAGAAAAATAAAATAAAATAAAATAAAATAAAATAAAATAAAATAAAATAAAATAAAAAGAGGGGGTAAATCTGGAGGAACAGGAAAACAAGCAGTTGGCATTTGCACACAGCTTGGCAGAAGGGGGTGGCGAGGTGCTGGGGTGCCTGGTGCATGGGCACGGGGACGCAGAGCGGTGCCAGCCCTGCCTGGGGGTGTCCCCGCTGGGTGCCCCAGGGCTGCTGGATGTGCCTGGGTTTCCTCCCAGCCTTTGCTTGCAAGTGGGGGCTCTGCAGCCTTGTGGGGCTGGGGCTGGCAGGGGCTCCATGGGGAGCTGGGGGTCCCCAAATCACTCTGGAAGGCCGGCCAGGCTGCCCGAGGGAGGTTTCGGGTTGTTTTTTTTTTTTCAGGCAGCTGGAGAGGAGGTATGGAGGAGGAGAAAGTGAGGTCTTGCTTCTTTCATTGCCCAACAACGCTGCAGTGGGGGTTTGGCACGGGCGAGCTGCGGAGCCGTCTTGGTGCCGTTCCCACTGCCTTACGTGGATGCATTTGGTCTGAGGTACAAAGCCCGTGGTGGCTTCGCAGCCCTGATGGGACCGTGGTGGGACACGCTGCAAGTCAGACTCCCCCTTGCCCAGGGCCAGCACGGGCTGGCACAAAGCTCCCCGTGAAGGCCAAACCCTTCCCCAAGCCCCCGAGGTGAAGAGCTGCCCACCCCCAGTATTTCTGCACTGCTGCAGCACCCACATTTGCGTGGAAACTCAGTGTCCCCCATAGCTGCACCACCAGCCCGAGTCCTTCCATAAAACGTCTCATTCTCCTGGGTAGAAATCCTCATTTTTGTGCTTTCTTGTGCTGCTCGCTGCAGCCCTGCTCCCCCCGCGCTGCCCAGACCCCAGGGAGGTGAGCAGTGGGCAGGGAGGGTGCTCTCCTCCTGTGACCATCACCTGGAGAGCCCTGGGTGGGGAATTGTGGCTCTGCATGGCCAGCACACCTCGAACAAGGGGCACGAGTGCCTCCCCATCCAGGCGTTGCCATCTCGGTCCTTTGTAGGACTTTTGCTCTCATTTTTTTCTGGTCTGCTGCAGGGGACAGATCCAGAACGGGTCTGGATTTGGCCACACAGCAACGTCGGTGCCGTCTTCTCCAGGAGAAGTCCTTTTTTTAGCAGACATGGCCAGGCCTGGTCAGAAAATGGATCCTGTTCCCCGAAGGTGACGATGACAAAGAGTTCGCCCGAGCCAGATTGGGTTCGGAGCAGGGAGCGGGCGCCTCTCGAACCGCAGAGCAGTTTGCAATTTTTTTCCATCTAATTTTGCTTTAAACCAACAAAACCTCTCAGCCTCCTGGCCGAGGTGCCCCTGCTCTGCTGCATCTCGGTGGGGGTTACCCACATTCAGCCCCCGGGACGGGGTCACCCCGTCCTGGTCACGCAACCCGGAGCTCCCTCACCCCCCAGCCCGGCTCTCCAGTGCGCAAACCCCGCGAGCCCCCGGGTATTTCCCTGCGCCTCCCTTCTGAGCGTTAACAGCACTAATTAATCCCGGGCTGTGCTCGGTGCAGGGAGGGATCAGCTGCCTTTCCCAGCAGAGGGGCTGTGGGGACGGTCCCCGGAGCCGTGGGGCAGGGGAAGGTCCCCTCCTCGCTCATTTTGGGGACGGGCAGCGAAGCCTCGGAGCCGTGGGGTGGGATCGTTTCGGCTCCCCAAACTGGAGGCAGGGCAGAGGGAGGACGCTCAGCCTTCCTCCTGGCCTCTTCCCCTCCGTCTTACTCGGAGGTGGCTCTCGCCGGAGGGTCGGGGTGGGCACGGCGTGGGCATTTGGGTGCACGGCAGGAATTCCTGACTCTCGGCCAGTTTTTGGTGTTAATTCCCTGCTAGGAGGCTCCAAAGGCACAAAAACCTCTCAGAGGGCAAAGGGCCTGAGAGGGGAAGGGGTAACTCGTCTGAGAGCAGCGGGGAGGGAGGACGGGGAGGGGAAGGGAGCAGCAGGGAGAGGGAAGGAGATTTTCCTGGGATTTTACCCAGGAGAATTCCCATCCTTTCCTTAAACCAGCAGAGCTGGAGAGCTTGCCCTGCCGGAGCAGCACACCTCGGGTACCCACCTGAGGCACCGACCTCCCCAACCCCAATCCCTGCACCCCGGCACCCAGACAGCCCCAAAAAACACCCAAAAAGCAGCGAAGAGCCCCAGGGCTGCAGCAGGACCCGCTGCCACCCCCAGGCTTTGAGGGCCGGGGCTGGCACCCGTCACCCCCCCGCCACGCAGGGCGCACGGGGCCGGGGTCTGCGGGGAGCGAGGGGTGACCGAGGGCCCTCCGAAGAGCCCCTTGTGCTGCAGGGAGACCAGCTCGCCGCTGGCAGGGTATTTTTTTTTTTTTTTCTCTTCCCCGCTCTTTGTTAAGCTCCCTTTCAGCTGAAATGGCAATGCCTGGGTGTTCTGAGCTGACAATAATTGCTGCAGTCTAGACACTGTCTGGTATGAGGCACGGGGAATCAAAGAGGCCCCTTCTCTCGCTGCGACTTTCACACATGCTCCCTCGCTCGGGCTCCTTCCTTCTCCCTCTCCCATGTTCCCTCGGTCTTTGCCTCTTTTTTTTTTTATTTATTTTATTTTTTTTTTTATGGCTCCCCTCTCTCCGCATCTCGCGGAGATGGAGGAGAAGCGTCAGCATCTTCCCCCCCACGCGCTCCCTCTCTGCCGTCTGTTCCTCTCCCGGCTCCCCCTCTCCCTCTCTCTCTCTCCTTCCCTCATCTGTCTCCTCGCTCTCCTTCCTCCACTCTTACCTTTATGCTATTCCCTTCCTCCCAAAGTTAGCAGAGAAGGGAGAGGGTGGGGGCTGCCTGCGCCGGGCTTTAACTCCTTCCTCGCCCTCTCGCGGCTCTCCCCTTCTCGCTCTGCCTGGGTGCTGGGTGCTGCCTGGGGGGCTCTCCTGGCTCCTCTGGAGGTGCTGGAGGTGCCTGCAGGGGTTGCAGTGGGCTGGAAGCAGCCTCAAGCCCCGTGCCAGGAGCTGAGGGCTGCCCTGGCACCTTCACCCCGGCACCTTCACCCTGGCACCCATGGGTGCGCAGCTCCCTGCGCCACCGGCACCGAACGGAGCTGGGCTGGGTACCCCAGGAGGGTGCCCGCAGCCCTCAGCATCGTGATGCTGCAGGTCCGAGGAGGTGTGACAGTTTCTGCAGCACCTTTGTCACATCCATGCCCAATCCTCGGCAAGGGAGAAGGCGTTTGGGAGCCCTGGGGGGGTGGCAGAGCTCCCCAACCCCCTGCTCGGGCACGGCGCCTGTGCCCCAGCTCCAAACGTGGTCAAATTCTCACTGGGATGTCCCCAACCCCGAAGGAACCCGCTCAGGGACTTGGGTTGCTCCTCGCAGTGCTGCAGCGAGCCAAAGGAGGTGGTTTTGTAGCCACAGGCCCACGGGGACATCGGTGCTGTGGGGAGATGGCTCTGAGCTCGCGGCACTGCTGCTGCCTCGGACTGGACGCGGTCTCCATTTGGGGTGCCGTGTGGCACATCCAATCGTGCCCAGAAATCATTTTTTTGTGCCATAACACCGTTACCAGAGCACTTCTAGCTCGGTTTTGGACTTCTATCAAGCCCCGATTTTTGAGCAAAAGCCCCTTTTCCTGTAAATCCCCCCCCCTAAAGAACACCGAGGTGCCGCACGCGCGTCCTGCTTGCTGCCAGAGCTCATCGCAGAGGCAGCACCACCAAAACTCCCACCGCTGGGGAAACTGAGGCACGGGGCAGGGCAGCCTGCTGCCCCCACGGGACCACACAATTCTCTTCTTTTGGGGTCCAATTTGGGGCTCAGGTCTCCCCGTGACTCCCCCCACCCCAGCTCGCCATCGCCCAGCATCCCGGTGGCGGCCGCGCTCGCTCGCGTACCACGGAAAAGCCACATTAGGAAAGTATGCGCCGTGTTTTTAACGGCCTATAATGCAATTTAGCAGCTGGAAACGAGGAGGAAAGCCAAGCCCGTGCGATCAGCCAGATCTCCGCCGTCCACAGGCGAGCGCTCGGCGGGCTCGGTGCGTTTTGGGGACGTCGTTTGGGGAAAGGGGGCGAGGGGGAAAAAGCCTCGTCCTGGGAACGGGCTCTGCCTCCAGGGCTGCGGGGAGGAGGCGAGAGGAGCCAGCAGCTGCAGGGTGACACGTTTGTCCCCAAAACCACCGCTGCCTGCCTCTAGCTGGCCAGGTCTGGCTCCCCCAGGAGCTGGGTGTCTTGGCTCTGCTTCGGGGCCGGGATTCTTCGCATGATCTGGCAACGGGGCTTGCAGCGGGGGTGGCCGGGAGCCGAGCTCTTCTCAACATCTGGTCCACACCGGAGGCACTTCGGGGGCTAAAATTGCCCCCGCTGCCCCTCGTCCCAGGTCCCGCTTGCACCTCTGCCCTCCTGCAAGGCCCCCAAGGATTTTTGGGGGGACATCTCCCAGTCCTGCCCCGGGGGAAGCAGCAGGGGGGTGAAAGCCTCCTGCAGCTGGGCTGGATCCTGGGTGCTCTGTGCCATAAAACCCAGCACGGGACAACCAGCACCTCGTGGGCAGGGGGCTCAAAGCAGCGGGGGGCTTCACTGTGTGCTCAGGGGCTGCTCCTGCTGTCCCCTGGGGATGCTCAGGGGTCCAGCAGCAGAACCAGGAATGAAACCCCGGTGTGCCGAGGTCCCTGGGCTGTGCCCACACCCGCGGGTGCCGCACGCTGCCGTCCCCGGGCAGGGGCTGCTCGGTGCACAGCTGGATTCCCAAAATCTCCACTGCCTTCTGGAGCCTCGCCACGGGCTGTGGGGCTGCTCTGCACGTGGGGAAGGGGAGTCCAAGAGATTTGGGGTCTCTGTTCCCCTTCCCGTGCCACCCCGCTGGGGGATGCTGGCTGATAAGGCAGAGGGGCAAAAACACTGCCTTGATTTTGGAGCTTATCTCCAAATCCTGATGGGAACAGACGCAGAGGGAAGCCGGGGACGTTGCAGGGGAGGGGACTCGCACCCAAGCACAATGGGGCTGGGGTTGGGTGACGCTGTGTGGGGTGGATGTGGCTTGGTTTGGGGTCTGGGCAGCTCTGGTATAGAGATCCAGCTCAGGGGGAACGAGATTGTAAAAATTTGGGGCAAAACCAAGGAACTGGGGCAAAACGGTTGGGTCAGGGAGGGAGAACCAGGCTGGGGCACCTGTGATCCCCCTTCCCAGCCCAGCAGCACCCTGAATCTGGGAATCCTCCCTGTTGTTTTTTTTGTTAATTAGGGGCTCGATGAGGAAGAAAAACCTTGAAACCAAGGAAACGAGGGAGACAAAAAGGAAAACGTCGGCTCCTGCGAGGCGCAGCAAGCCGGCCACGGCACCCCGGGGTGAGGCTGGGTGCTGCCAGTGCTGGGGCACAAAGGTGAGCGGTGGTGGGGGCATGGAGAAGGGGGAGAAGGTGAAAGGAAGGGCGATACAGTGGGGACAGTGGCTGAAGACGGAGTCCTTTGCCTTGAAGGAGGGATGGGGAGCGTTTGGCAGGTCGGGATGGCTCCACAAGGGAAATCCCGCGTGCCAAGGTGGCTTCGGCCGCAGCCTGGGCCACTTGGAGGAGAATTTTGGTGCAGGAGGTGCGGTGGAGGAGGCGAGCGGAGGTTTTTAGGGGAAGCTGTGGAGCAGAGAGCAGCTGGGGTGAGCTCAGCGAGCCCACGAGGAGCCGGTCCAAAAATCCTGGGGACTGGCTCGGGATGGGCAGCGCGTGCGGGCGGGCGCAGCCACGGCCGTGCCCAGCACCAGAAATCGCAGCGCTCCGGCTCAGAGGCTCCACCGAAGGCAATAATCCTGGCCAGGTTTGCTGAATTCCCCCTGAACAACCCCAAATTTCCCCACCAAGGGGCAGCACCCCCCAGATCTCCAGCACGGCACGTGCCAGGCGACACGAAGCGGCAGTTTCGGAGAGTGGCGACGGGCCAGGGTGGGCAGAACCCAAACTGCCCCAATTTTCCCCCGTTTGGGCTGGCACCGAGCAGGCATCCAGCTTACAGTGGGGCGCAGCTGGCAGCCCCCTACCCCTCTCCCCGTGCCCCCCATCCCTGGCAGGGCTGGCTGCGCCCTCTCCGCAGCCGCCTTGCGCTCTTTTCCTGCGCGTCCCCCCCTGGAGGGTTTTTTCCATGACACGAGGCAGAGCGAGCGCGGAGCTGCCTCGCGCGCCCGGCTCCCCCGCCTGCAACCTCTGGCACGGCTTTTCCAGCGGCACATTGTGCAAATGTAACCTTTCAGCAAGCCGCTCCTACGGCAGGAAGCCGTGGGGCCGCGGCTGCTGCCAGGAACGCAGCCGGCGCGGAGCTGGAAGGCAGCCCGTTAATCAGAGCCGGCTGACAGCGAGGCGCAGCCTGCCCGGCAGATTTCGGCTCCCTCTCCCTCGCCCGGCCGTGCCTGAGCCTCTCCTGCTCGCTGAGGCTCGCCTGAGCTTTTCCTCCTGCCCTTCTGCCTCCCTTTCTTCAGCCTCAGCCTCTTCCTCACCGGGTGTCCGGCTGGGTTTGCTCCCTGCCTGCCCTTGGCGCAGGGTTTGGTGTGCCCAGGGGCTGCGGGGGTCCTCAGGGGGGGCTCTGTGTGCCATCCCCTTGGCCACAGCACCCTCCACAAGCACTGCTTGCACCCACACCAACCCAAAACGCACACCAGGGCACCAAACCCATCGCCACCCGGCACCACCATGCCCAGGACTCTGATGGAAACCCCTGTGTGGCTCCAGGGGGGGCTGACCGTGGGGCAGAGCCCCCATTCCTGAGCCCCCCCAGGCCCTGGGATGGGGTCTCCCAGCAGGAACAGCCGGCCCAGAGCTCCCCAGCAGGCACAGCTCAGCAGCACGGCAGCGTTTTGCGCTCTGGGAACGAACCAGCAGCGTTTTGGGAAGCCTCTTGCCCACCTCCAGCCCGCTGGAAAACCCAAAACTGGAGCTGTGGGCCCCGCGGGGAGCTTTCAGGCTGGGGGAGGTGGCCGGGGTGACAGCCAGCACTGTCACCTTGGGTGGAGTTTCCCCAGGCTCGTGCCCTGGGGGTGCCCAGCACAGACCCAAAAAAAAAAAGGGGCAGGAGCCCTGCGGTCACCTCCCGGTGCCCTGGGCTCTTGCCCCCTGCCTGCCTTTATTTTTCATGTCGTTTTCTTGCCGGCTTCGAAGCACTGAAGTGCTGCATTGTAGCATCTGTTTTTGTGGTATTTCCAGCCCAGCTGGAAGCAGGAGGCACTAGAAACCCAGAGATGGAAGGAAAGAAAAAAAAAAAATAAAATCAATCTGGCAAGATTTCATCTTGCTGCCAAATTCACCAAAACCGGGGTGCTCGGAGAGCCTCGCTGCTGGCGCTCGAGCCCAGCTCCTCTCCTCTCCACCCTTTCCTAATTTCTGGGCTTTGCTCACCCCAAAACCATCCTTTTATCCCCCAATTCCTTTCAGGACACGGCACAAAGCACAACCCCGGTGCCGGCGTCGGGGCCGGGCGGGTGCCGCAGCCGCTGAATTTATTTCACCTTTTCCTCCGGTTGCGAATTGTCCGGGAGCAGATGGCGATTTTCTCGAGTGTGTCCCTTCTTCGAAGGCGCTCACCGAGACAGCGACGGCTCAAACAAATCCGAGCCCCCCTGCAAAGCCATCATTTGCTCTTCCCATCTGCCCAGCCTCTGCTTTCGGCCCCGGCTCGGCTTCAGCCAGCTCCGACCAGCGGGGCAGGATGGGGACGGGGTCGGGGTGGTGTTTGTCCCTGTCGTTCTGTGTTTGTCCCTGTAGTTTTGTGACACGGAGCCGTGACAGCCAGGGCAGCCTTTAGGGTGGACAAATATCGGGTGGAAAGCATTTGGGGCTGTGAGCAGCCTGGCCTGGCCCGGCAAACCCCGGGTGCTGGGGGTGCGATGCAGGGGGTTGTTTCGGGGCCCCTTGTTCATGATTAATCCCATGGAGGCTAGCAGGAGGTTTTAGGATCCCAGCGTTGGGGTTTTGGGGTTTTGGGGCTGTGCTCGTGCAGTGCCAGCGCTGGGTGAGACGAGCTCGGCTGTCCCCAGCAAGGTGCCTGGTGCCAAACTGGGGAGCTGCCTCTCCAAGGAGGCACCGGGGGGGTTTGTGTTCAGCCTCCCCGCCTGGACCAGGAGCCTTGGGGAGGGGGCAAAGGGATGCTTTTAGTCCACCCAAACCCCCAAAAAACAGGAAACCTCATTGTGTGGCCATGCACGGTGACCCCCAGGCCAGTGGCACAGCCGGGACCCCCACCTTCAGCTACCCCAAACATGGGCTGAGCCAGGGGAACGCGCTTTGGGGCCGCTCTGCCCCATTCCCAGCTGCATTTTTCCTTCTCCCCTTGTGCCCCCCCACCCCCAGAGGAGGTCTGTGGGAAGGGGCCAGGGACCCCCTGGCAGGGGCCGTGGGGAGGGGGCCGCTGTGTAACCGGACCCCCCTGCGCGGCCCTGCGCCAGGAATGCCTGCGCCGAGGGGGGGCTGCCAGGGGCTGACAAAGGGCGAGAGGCTTTGAAATGCAGTTTCCTCTCCCCCTTCCACCTCCCCCGTGGGTTAAACAAATACCCCCCCCCCCCTCCCCACGCCCCCCCTGGCCTGGGGATGCCTCCCCGCCTGGAGCAACCTTTTGTTCCCAGGCTTTTGTTTGGGGAATTGGCCGGGACCCCCCCGGCTTCCCCCAGGGACCCCCATGCGGATGGGGTCCTGAGCTGCCTGGGGTGCTGAGCCTGAGGCAGGAGGCCCCCCCCAGCCCTTTTTTGCCTGTCCCCTGCTGTGTCCCCTCCTGGTGTCACATCGCCACCAGCCTTCGGGTCTTTACATGGGTACCCCACCCCGGGCACCCCCAGATGGTAATGTGGGGGGGTCCCTGCACCCATGGGACCTCAGAGGAGGGGGGCACTGGCTGCGTCCTGGTGGAAAAAGCCCAAATCAAAGCCTGGGGGTGCTGCAGAGACCCCTGCCCACCAGGATCCCCCCGGGTCACTTCTTATTTCGCGTCCCAAAAGCCAAGGCACGAACGCCCTGGGCAGGCGTCACTTCAGGCAGCCTCCTTCTGGGGCAAAAAGCTGGGGGGGAATAAAACCTTCAGAGGGTGAAACAACCCTGATATGCCCACGGAAACCTCCAGCCACCTCCCCTGCCCATGATGCTGTTGTGCTGTGCAAAAAAAAACCAAAAACCTCCAGAATTAACCAAAAGCAAAAGGTGAGACCCAAAACGAACCCTTCGGAGGGCAGCCCCTGGATGGGAGCACCTCGGATGTTGCCTGCTCCTGCTCTGCAGCTGGAATCACAGAAAATAAAATCTGTTAGTTTGGTAGTGTGTGTGTATCGAAGCTGTGAAAGCAGCCCCGGGATGGGTGGAAAGGTTTTGTCCCACCTCAGCTCCCCCCCTTCCCATCCCCATCCCCTTGGTGCTGGGGGCGCCGACGCTGCTCCAGCCTCTCCAAACAGCCGGGGCTGGGGGGCGAGGAGCCTCTGGGGCCACAAAATGTCCCGGATCCCCCCCACCTCCGTGATTCCCCATTACCAGGAGGCAGAAAATGCCCCGGGACACAGCTCCCTAAGGGCTGGGACCCCCGGCAAAGCTCTGCTGGGGGCTGGCACGGGGCAGCTGGGGGTGCTCGGAGCCTTTTTATCCCCTGAGTTTATCCCCAGGGAGCTGCACCAAGCACCCCAGCACCTTGAGCACCCCAGCACCCATCACCCCAGCACCCAGCACCCCAGCACCCAGCCCTCCAACCCCATCCGAATACAGCGGGGAGGCTGCAGCCCCCCGGGGGAGAGCAGCCCCGCAGCCCCAGCGCCGCGCTCGTCACCCAGACAAGAGATCAATAACTAATTTCGCTGCAGCAGCAGCGCGGGTTTTTTTCCAATAATTGTGAGCCGGCGGGTTGGGAATGAGGCTCTCAGCACCGCTCCACACTAACCTGCACCCGATCAATCGCCACACCGCTGGGGCAGCAGGAAAACTCATTTTTTCTCTTTTTCTTCCCTCTCGCCAGCCTCCTCCGGCTCCCTCCTGCCTAACCCCGGCTTGGTGCTGCCAGAAGGGCTTCGGACGGGTGGAGGTTGAGTCCCAGTGGGGTGTGGGATGGGGTTTTGTAGAGCCGTCCCCGTGCTTGGTGGCAGCCCTGGGCTGCTCATCCCATGCCATCCCACAGTCCTGGAGGTTTGGGCACATCTCCCATGGGCCAGCAGTGAGCATGGGGCTCAGCATCCCGCCTGAGGGTCGCAGAGGGGTGGTTTCACCTCTCCTTTGGGGAGATGATGAGCTCCCGTCGGGTGTCCTGGCTAGCGAGCTGGGAATTTAGTGGCCTGTTAGAGCCTTGACATCATGGCCCTTGTATTTTCAGTGGCACAGGGAAAGCTGTAAGATATCATCCTCTGCGGGGTTGGTTTGCTCTTGGGCATGAGCCCTGCTGAGGTTCTCCCCTGTCGTTTATTCCTTCTCCGTCTGGAACTGCTCCGTGCCT